ATTATCTTCTGGGAAATGGGATGCTAGACATTTTAAAGTTGTTTTTGAAGGTAAAATGCTAGATAGATATCTTCTTTTCTTTTCATTGTTTTAAAACTGTTTATTATATGTTTATTTGGGTTTGTCAGCAACATGTAGTGCAGTGATCTGGATTGTCAGGGACCAGCCTGAGATAGAAACTTCAGTTTTAGTGTTGGGCTACAGCGACGCTGACAGTGGGGTATTTGGCGGGTTTTTATACAGCTACATTAACTGTTAGGCAGAATTGGAACCAAGCAGTTCATTTGCAGATTTTGACTACACAACCATGATTCAGCTCTGCCTCTGCTCATTTCCCATTTTGATTTATGAATGTTTTGAATTTCCTTTAACTACAGTCATGGTTATCCACAGATTAACTGATTAGACTTATGTAATGCCTGTTGAAATAATGACAAAATAATAACTTTGAACAGTATCTCATTTGAGAGAACAAAGTGTGTCCATAAAATATAACAAGTGTTTACTGAGTTAACAAAAATTTATATTTTCTAAATTGTTTTCCTTTTTGCCTTGAGAAGGTTATTTACACTTTATAACCAAAACCCCCTAATAATTTCATAGGAAAATTAAATAAGAGATATATATGTAGAGTAGAGAAGGATAGTAGAAAGAGTCCTGTCAATAGGATTAAAGAACGGACTATCATTAATTGCTTTTGAGCTTATTCCACTCAAGTACTCATATTTTTTAATCTCTGTTGATCTGAGCAATCAGCTGAAACTTGTGATCTGATGAATTATTTTGGTTAAAAGAAATTGCTGAGCTATTTATATTGTTAATACCATTCTACGTATTGAGACGAAAGCTCGGTGTTTTCAATACAGGAGAAACAAACTGTTACCAAGTCGGTTTTGTTAGTTTACATTTTTTTTTAATTCAGGGTTCTAAACTTACTTCCAATCAGTGTTGAACTCCAGGTCAATCTCCTGATATTCCTTAGGTCTTACTTTTGGTACCAGTTCTTCTCTACCTTAAGTTTCTGCTTTTTTCTTCACTTGGCTGCATTTTCATGATCGTCTCTTGTAGAAACGTAGGTGTGAGAGGCACACTCTTGGTCTTTTCTGCTCTTGCAGACCTTCAAGCTCTGATAGTTATAAAAACCCCAAACATTAATGACAACTTTGTATGGATTTGTGCTTGTTTCAAAATTGTTCTTTTACTTGAATATTTTCTCTTTTTCTTGGCACTTCTATCTTGACACCTACACAGATCTCCCCCTTAGTCTTTCATTTGTTAAGCTAAACAAAGCAGATGTTTTCAATTTCTTCTCAAACTTTCCCTGACCATTGTAGAAGCCTTAATCTCTTGCAATTTGAATTCCTATTTAGGCACAGACAATCAGAATCAAGAACAATAGCATTGTAATGTAGCTTCATGTTACTGCTTTAATTTTGATGTCTATGTACTAGAAATATCTTCTCTGATAATTTTAAAATTTCATTTCCATATGGACATTATATTGGTAGCTCGTAATTACTCTGTGATCAGCTTTGTCTCCACCGTTTCATCCCCTGTAATTTTCAGTTGCTGAGTTCTCAATTCTTAGCAGAAACTTAATAATCTGGAAGTTAAATCTTTGCTTTTTGCATTATTAAAATTTACCCCAGTTTTATTCCTGTGGTCCTGAAGGTACTCCATGTATTCCTCGTGATTTGACCACTCCTCATTTATTAGCAGTGCTTTCCAATATCAGAAATTTTTTTAACAAACCCAAACTGGGATTTTTGGTATCGTTCATACTACTTACGCTCTGGTAATTAATAGAAGTATGTAGTAAAATTGATCTCCCAGTATGTTAGTGAGGAATATGCATTAGCATTGTTCTTCCAGCTCTTTTGGTACAGCACTGCATCATCTCACCTTACTTTTACAATCTGCAGTACCTTTCACTGATCTTAAATGTTCTCTATCATGATGGTTAGTACTAGCAAACATGACTTGAATTTAATTTGAAAAGTTGAGTGACAGAGCTGCTATTGTTTGCTCACTCACCGCTTAGGTCAGGTCTTTTTGGTCTGAAACTGATTTGTGATAGATTCAAAGTGACCATTATTTCACCTTGCATAATCCACAGGAACTCTGAATTTGCTTTTTTCTTTGTTTATTCTTTCTGTTTCAGTGAAGAAAAACGAAATAAAAGCAAACTATATTTGTCAGTAATGCTTTTGTATGATATAAAGTGATACCTCTTGATATTCTAAAAGGAATGAATTACCAGATTTTTGCTTTAACGTCTCTTAGAATAAATATTATACTTTATAAAATAGTATTGTACTTTTACCCTTTCTCTGTTTTAACACTGCTAATGAAATGTTAAAATTTTCACTTTTGCAAAATAGTAATTGTATTGCCATGAGAAAAAACATGGAGTAACTTCTGGGAAAAGGTTCCACTAGCTGTATAATATGCATGAAGAAAAAACTGTAAATTTCTGAATGCATTTATAATTTGTACTGAGATCTTAACGTAACTCGGGAAAATAGTCTTCTGTCTTGTCTTTTTCTAGATCTTGAATTCTTCAAATGTCCAGCTAGAGGAGAGATTATGTACTCTTTGTGAGCAGAAACTCTAAGTGATGTTTCTGACAGCTGTGGTTATAGCTCCTAGCTTTGCATTTTTCACTCTTTGAGTGGAGATCATGTATTATAAGGTTTGCACAGAGAGAGCCTACATAGTATTTATGAAAGGTGGCTTGGCAAAATGATTTTTTTACTTGGCCACTTCTTACCATCTTGCTGTCCTTCGTATCCTCGCTAGGTGGCTTGTGGGGAAGTGGTTGCCAGCAACTCTCAGATGCAAGGTACTCCTGTGTGTAGTTGTAAGTAGGTACTGTTCAGAATATAGTATTGCAGAACTGAGTGTTTGCATAGGAGTAAATAATAATATTTAGTAATGGTGTATTATTATTTTTTTAAAAATTACCTTTGGAAATAAAAATATTACCTTGGGAGATATTCCCATTTCGTACTGATGCAGGGAAAACTATTTCCCCTTCTTGTACTGCTGAGTCACTCTTGTCCATTTTTTGAAGGGCCTTTTGTCTCCTTGTGTGTATGTCTTTATATCCTTTGCACAAAGGTTTAGTAATATTTTCTTGGTCGAAAGTGAATTAATGAGTTATTCTGGAAAAACTTTAAAAGTGACAGTTTTTGGGAACATTCACAATATTCAAAGTGGCACCCTGACTGCCGCTATCATCAGCAGTAAAAAACCAGTGTCACATTGTTTGACCTCAATATTAACTCTCTTGGAGAATATAAAAAGCAGCAGCAAGGCTGGCCTGATCCGGTTCCCTGCTGCACTTTAAAGCCTCCAAGAGCTTCACTGACAAGCCTCTCCGAGGCTATGGAGCATGTCACTGGAGATCCTGTACAAGTGTGCAGCTGAGTTCCCTTTCCCTGTAGATGAAGTGTCCTGATGTTGAGGCAGTGGTACACTGTGTAAAGTGAATCAATAATAAAAGACAGTTCCCTCTCTAAAGGGAAATAGGTGGTATTCGTGGGTGAGACCAATTTGCTTTTATCGGTGCCATAATGTGTATGACTATAAGCCAGACTTGATTAAGTTACTCAAAAGAGCAATTACTACAACTGAATAATAATGATTTTAAACTATCAGAATAGGATCTGGGTGAATTAATTTGTAACCATTTACTTCTAGTTCCAGCTTCTGCTTATATTTCAAAGTAAAGAAGGACATCCACATTAATTTGAATAACATGCAAGCTGTAGTTAAATTAGGGAAGATTTTTTCCTCCAAGTTTTATTCGTCTGTAAACTTTGACCGGTAGCTGTATATTTCAGTGAGTGTTGTGTGTTTAAGGATATGGACTGAGTGCCTCAATAGGACTTTTTCACTGTGTGAACACGAGTACTTTTTCTGTGGGTCTAGAATTCAGAGGAGTTACTAAATGGTAACTTTTTCAAGTTTGTTGGCACTGTTTTGTCTTAGTTCTGTGAAGTGTTTTCTTTTGTTTATGTAAGTTTGTTGCCATAATGGTAGCAACAATAAATATAAATAAAGATTTATAATAATCAATTTCGCTTGCTTCAAGTATGTGTTTTAATAAAAAGTCCAGTTATTACTTAGTAGTCTTGATAATTTAAAAATTACTAAGGAGGATACTGTATATTTGTTAGCTTGAAAGGTCTCTTGTATCAGAAAAAACCCATGCATGATTGTTTTGTTTGATATCAAAACACATTTTTGCTGTCATAATACTGGCACATTTTCAAGGCATGCTGTTTTCTGGCTGCTAGCAGGGAGTAATGGAAACAATGCAGTGATCATGCAGTCTATTGAAACTAAACGCTAAAAATACTTAATTCAAGTAATGTTTTTAATTTAATAGGGACTAGGATTCATAAGGCTGCATAAAATAGCTGTTTCAGTACCACAGGGATATTTAAATGCTTTGCAGCCTATGAATTGTTTATAATTTCTTTCTGGTAATTTTCCTTTGGATTAGATTGCTTCTTCTGAATGGTGATAGTGCTTGTTGAGGAGTGGTCATGCAAGCAAAATTTGATAACCTCGGTATGTCACTTCATCTGCCGTTTTTCTTTTGTTAATGCAAAGCTGGTTGCATAATATCTAATTTCTCCTTTAGCTGACCACAGATGAAAACAAAATCTATAATGGCAGCACTAGGTTTTATAAAAAACGCAAGTGAGGAGTTGAAGGATGTGGCTTGTTCTGTTTGGATGATGCAGGATTGCTTTAAGCAGTAAGCTTACTGTTTTCAGATGGCATTAGCAGCATCAGTGATATAGCTGTGTCAGCCTCCTTGACTACTGGATGTCTGTAATCACACGGAGGAAACTATTTGAGATCTGGTATCTTGAGGGTAACGACTCCAGCATTTACTGATGAACAGAATGGCTGTTAATGCTTTCTTCACTAGCCCAGAAGATTTTGAAAGATAAATGGGTCTGTGATGTACTTTTTTAAGACAGGAAATGCAATTTTTGGGGGTCTCTGGAAATAGAAAGGTCATGCAGCTTGGAACCGGTGAGACATTACAGTATCTAAGTCATCAGGTATGACCTCATAGTTTATACTTATATTTCTAACACAAGGTTTTGTTTTACAGTTTTAGGTCATTTGCAATCTCTTTGTCTGTGTAATTGCTTCATGTTGGATTTGCTACGGGATTTATAGGGTAGACTGTTTACATAAGCAGAGCAATGTATATTGTGGAAATCTAACGTGTTGCTAATTGCTATATGAACAATGTAAGGTTATTCCATATATATTTTCAACCTGTTTTTGTTGTGAATATGATTTCTTTTAACTAATTCATGGTAAAAGGTTATACCTTTGCTGTAAAGTAAAATGACGAGATTGTACTGCATTTTTATTTTGTTTTATCTTTATATGGCAAACAAAGCTGTTGTGTGAATGTGTGTGCTGATGAAACGCAGTATAAGGCAGCTGTTTACCTACAGTGGCAGGTTATTTAAAACAACGTATCACATTGTATAACAGGACTGAGCTATTCTGCAGGCACAGATCTTGCTTCATTTTGCAGTAGTAAATTTTTTTGCTTCATTTCAAATCAGTTTTAAAAATAGCTCACTGAACATAGCAGTGGAAGTTTGGCAAGATAACTCCCCCCTTTTTAATTATTATGCTCAGTGACACATACTAATACTAATAGGATGGGAAAGAGAAGATTAGTGACTTAAATATTTAGGATGTTGTTTAAAACCAAATTCATTTTACTGAAGCATATCGCATCCTTTTTGTTTTTAACTATTGCTGACTTTATTGCAAGGCTGATACTTGCAATATCTGCTAACATTATAATTATAATACTTTATATCTGCTAAGATATTGTGGTGATGGATAGGAAAGTCAGAGTACATAAAAGAAAACAAGTATATGGGTATTTTACATAGGAAGATAGTGGCCTAATTTCATGTATGGAGCACAAAATGGAATTGGAGATACTGTTACCACTTTAGGTGTTATAAATGCTAGGTAATAGCCATTGTTTCCCTTGAATACAGCATAGAGCAATTGTATTTGAAATTGTTGAAGTTTATTTTTAAAAATGATGTTCAGCTCCATCTTAAGAAATTCTAGATGTATTTGGAGAACATTTCCATGGCAACGTATTTGTCCATGTGTTTGAAAACCTCAGCTGAAGCTTGAAAGTAGTGTGCAATTTTTCTGTTGCTTTCTTTACCCTCGTGAAACAACAATTTTCATGTATAACTGTGCTGCAGATTGACAGGGGTGACCCCAAAGCACAGGATTAAGTGATCAAGATTTGAAAATAGTTTAATACTTCCATCTAGAAATGTAAACATGTGAAACATGGATTTGATTTTGCATTTAGAACTGTTTTCTGGTTTCACTCCTATTTAATAACGTTTTGTTGGAAATGTATGTGTGTGGGAGACCACAGAAGACCAAACTTAAGAATGTGAAGCAAATTGCTTCAGTAAAAATGGCTGTCTTTTCATTTTTAATTAAAAACATATTTGTAAAAAATGTTGTAGTACTTTTACTGGCCATAATTTATAGTTTCCCAGTCTACTTATCCAGCTTACATTCTTATTAATAATGGGGAAAGACAGCCCTGCTCTTAAGCTTGATTAGGTTTGGAATGATTTAACTATACCTTTCACTTGCTACAAGATCTTTTTAATTTGTTAGAATTTATTTTCAGTATTTTAATGTGTTAGTCACAATAAGTACATTCTGTTTCTTGGCATTGGAATGAAATTCCTGAAAGTATTGGTTTCATGGTATTTTGGTGCTTTGCAGGGTATTCATGGACTTTTTAATAGGACCAACCCTCCCCCCAGCTTTTTTGTTTTCCTTATTCAAATATGATTTAAAATCTTGACTTACCTGTATTTTGAAGTTGTTCCTGAACTCTCCTTTGCTCATTTAAAATAATTAGATCTCCATGGAATTTTGCGTAACTGGAAGCTGTAGCAGTATGCCATGTGCTTATCCTGGGCTCTGTTTCATCATTTATATTAATTCTGCAAGCTGTGTTCTGTGAATGTTTTTGAAATTTAACATTGATAATCTCCAAATATTGCAATAGACATCCATTGTGGCCTGTTTAGGTTAGAAACCTTATCTACAGATGAAATAAATTGGTGAAGAATGCTTGCTTGAGGAAGTGTATCTTTAGGTCATTCAGTTTTTAAAAATGATATTACTGACTATTGCAAGTGAGTTTGAATATGTTTTTTCACTCAAAGGACATAGACCCATTATAGGTCCTTCTTCTTTAGGAGGGACTAGAGAATAATACCCAAAAGGAATGTATTAAGGAGGTGAAGTTCTCTTATAAGAGAAGGAATTGCAGCAAGGTGGAGATACACATGTGAGAGTAGGGAATTGGACTGAAGTGATCTGAAACCTTAAAACTACAAACTATTTTGGTTGTTTAACCCTCCCCCCACCACCCAAAAAAGAAAAGTTTAAAATATGCTTGCTGATATTTGGACATATTGCACAAATTTGGAGTAATTGAATTCAGTGGCAGTGCGTTGATATCAATTTAACAAGAAGTTTTTTTTAATGCCTTCTTTAAAACTATTCCATTCCTCTTGAAACTAAGTGGGTTGCAACTGTCAGTATTTAAAGAATGCTGTGTAAAGAAGGATCTTTCTGACTAAAGAGTTCTTTCCCCTTGACCGTGCACAACGAATACACATCTGGGAGTATGTGTTTCCCTATCTTTAAACATCCTATTCACAGAACTTGGTTATAAAGATCTTATAAAGAAACAAAGTTCTGTATGGATGTTTTAGGAACAGTGTTAAATAGCAAGTTGGGCAAGAAGCCCAGTATTTGTGTCATTTACCAATTCTGAGTGTGTGTGTGAGCTCAGACACACACGTACTCAGTTGTGTAGTGCTTATTTTTATTACCGATTGCCATTCTGATTCCATACTACTGACTTTTTTTGTACTTTATAGTGCCAGTGTTTAAGGAAATGGCAACACTAGGATAAATAGGAGATTGTGGCCAAACTTTCACAAATGGCAAAACAACACTAGAAACAAAAAGTACTTTCAGAGGAAGCTGAAGGGATTAAAGTCCTTTTGTCCTACATTAGTCTTCCTCCCAAGAGGTGATGCTGTTCTCTGGTCAGGTTCTCCTCGTTTCGTACTTTAATTCATAAACCAAATAATTTAATGACCTGAATTAGAGAAGGCTTAGTTATAAGCATGTCAGAAGAATCTAAAACCTAAAGTAACATAGCATAAATATGTAATAACTAAGTGCAGGGTCACAAGATACGTAGCTAAATGACTAGTGTTCCAAGACTGTTTTATTCCATTTAATGTTCCAAGAATATCACCATATGATAATTCTGACTCTTTGAAGGAGTTTCGCAAGGATGCAATATGAAAATGTGGATGAATCACTACAATAATATCCCAACCCAGTAATCTGTTAAAAAAATAAGAGGGACTAGTAGGGAAGGTGACCATATTAATGCTGTAAAAGAGAATGGGTACACATTACTTAGAATAGCATTTTGGAGAGAAGCAATCCCAACTATGGTTCATTCTCTCTCATATAATAAATGAGGTATTGTAAAAATTTGTTTATTTTTATAATAGTTTCCCTGTTTTCCCCAGGCTGCTTAAATAAAACAAAAATGTATATAGAAGCATTCAGTGATTCGATTCATCTGTTTCTCTCCTGACAACATAATGAGTTCACTTGTTTAAATTCTCTTTATTAGAGATTTTATACAGGCACACAGAGTCATTAAAATGTGTGCAAGAAATCATACACATATGGTTTGCATCCACATTTAACGCAATTAGAACTATTGTAACGAAAGCAATACCAGTTTTATATCCAATCCTGCAATTAAAATTTTCCAGGAAAACCAGCATCACTTTTGTGCCTGAATCCTGCAAGGGGAACAGCAGAGAAATACCTTGTCCTTGCATTAGTGAGGGAAGCTGCAACTGAGCAGCTCCATTCAGGTGTGGAACCTGTTTGGAATTGCATGGTGGGGACCTCATGTTGAGCTTGTAAGGTGAGGGGGTTGACTGTGCTTCAGGGGGTTTCTGTCTGAGAGTTAGCCATGCAGGTCAGTTATACCAGCTGATGTCATTCTTTAGGTCAATTTTTAAAGGCATTTCAGTGTTTATTTTCTGTTTTCCTGCTGGGGTTATCCGAAATACTTTAAACTTGAAAAAAAAAAAAAAGAGACTTCTCTTTCTCCTTTTCTTTTCCCCATTGATTGTCCAACTTTTCTAGTTCTGTTCCAGGAATAAATTTTGGTGAATATAAAATTTTAGACTTCATACATATATGTGTATCTTAAAGAGCAGTTATCCATATCATAACTTAAAATTTGAATTTAGGCAACTTTTAGTATATAAGAAAGTGGAGGTTGGCTGGTGTTACCTCACTGTTGACTGCCATGTAACATTTTTAATGGAATACACTGGATGATCATTAGAAAAATCTTAATACATATGGAAAATACAAAATGATAGTTTTGTAACAATGACAGTAATATAGTGAATTTTTATGGCATTGTATATTCTACTGAAGGTTATTCCTGGTTGTGTAGATTCCACGTGACAAGCACAGGGCTAGTTCTGTGAGTGCTACTAAGGATGAAGCTCAGTGTCTGGTAACTGTGACTGGATCTTACCTTCAGAATATCAGTTGTGGTAGTTGTGCATACCCCTTCTCTTTTACAGCATTAATATGGTCACCTTCCCTAATAGTCCCTCTTAGGTGGCCCCACCTCTACAGGAATTAGTTGGGACTGACTATGACTCTATTGACTCTATTTTTTTAACAAATTACTGTGACATTGTACATGTCAAAAATATGACTTCTTAGATCACCAGGGCACAGGATTTAATGGCGGTGACTGGTCATTTCTGATAAAGTTTACCTACCTATGAAATGTGAAGCATGTGAAAATTAAAAGCTGTCTTGGCATTCTTGTTTTGCTCCGGAAGGAAGCGATGAGCTCTTTCTCCAGGAACTTGGTTGCCTTGTTGCCTTCGCCAGACTTGTCCCCTCTGCTAGA